TGAACCAGAAGATCCGAATATATAGGTCTCATTGTGCACTGTAGTTCTACGTCCTCGGAAGGGGTCGGATAAGCAAGCCGAAAAAAACACAACAAGAAATCGAAATCATTGAGAGAAATAGTCGTTGAGGAATGTTATTATTTTTCTTTCCATTATCAAGAAACTTGGATGAGTCGACAATAACTTACTTCATCTTATCGCCAGACCGATAATGTCTTTGATAACGTTTGTCAAATAGATTCCATGTTACCGTGCAACTGTTTAGTAGCAGATCACAGTTGACGTCTAAATGTGGTTAAATAAAGAAAAAAAGGGCATCCGAGAGGCAGTCAGGTGTGGCACGGATGTTCTTACCGCAATTTGACGATTTTACCTTTGTCATGGTACAGTTCAGTACCGCGAGTTCATTACTGGTTCTATCTGACGCGCACTTCACCTGATTAAGACAGCAAGAGAAGTAATCAGAAAAGAGCACCTTTACACACGGCAACAATCGCATAAACTATTACCTTAATCAAAGTGCCGAGAAGTTCTGAGGGGTCATTGCTTGTTTGTTTTGCTGGTTTTATTAGATATAGCTTGCTCTACCCTCCAGAAATATACTCGCTCCTATGAATCCTAAACAAAGGACGCTTGAATGCTGTTTTCTTTCTTACATAGCACCATAAACAAAAGAGATTTGAAAATAAAACTGAAGAAGTAAAATCGGTATTAAGTAAATGTTACCAAAGATTTCCGTTGTTGGTTGTAAGGAAATTAATTCAACTTGGAAAAGGGACCAATGATAAATATGGCAGGTGGAACTAAACGAATGAATAGAAAAATGTCTTCAGAAAAAAAAATGTTGATAATAAGTGAGGTCTTTACCGTTGTAACAGTTTCTTTAAGATTTGCAAGGTCCCTCTTTGTTCCATCCAATGCAGCCTTCACCTCGTTCATAGCAGAGTTGAGGTTTTCAACCTAAAGTGAAGATAAAGATACAACACATAACTTCTTTCGGCATTTCCAGTTTTTCTTCAGGAAGAAGCTTAGACATTTTAACAGTTTCCGGCCCTATTTCTCATAGTTGGTTTTAGAATAATTCCACACTCGTTCTTAGGGTACTACTACAAATGTTGTAATCTGACTAGCTACTGGCTACTTACTCCATGATGGTAGTGAGTAGTTACTAAATGACATTTTTTAGAATCGTTAACTAAGAAACAGCAAAATCTTTACCGTTGTTGTCATTCTGTTCAATTTGGCGATGTCATTCTTTGATTCATCCACTGCGGCCTCCACTTTGACCATAGTAGAGCTGAGATATTCAAGCTATCATGGTGGATAAATGAATAAAGCGGGTAAGTTTCTTAAGAAACTGTGGTGCTGCGCCGGTAGAAGAGAATAACAGGGTAATATAGTATTATCAACTCAGGTGATAATACTAAATTACCCTAACATGGGAGATGGTTGGTTAAAAATGTAATCGGAAAAAGTAACCGACATTAGTTACAAGATGGACACACGTTTCAAAGAAGTCGAACACATTTCTGAGCAAAGAAAGCAGAGGCTTACAGATACGGTTACCCTTGTTATAGTGCTTTTACCTCAGTGAAGTCATCATTTCGTTAATTCGATATAAACTTCAATGTCTGATTCAAGGACAATTGGAGGCATTAATCTTGAAATTCAATAAAAAT